GGCCAATCGGGTATTTTTAAAATCCAGCAGCACTCAGTTTGAATTTCTTAGTTTGTTCAAAAGATCACATTGTTTGGGGTCTTTGTCCTGAAAGTTTTGCAGCAAACTTCAGCCCAAAGCACTCAGGTTTGACTTCTGAATCCTGCCTGCACCACTGATTGGGAGAAGCAGAGTTCGACAGCCTAGAAGGACTAGCAAAAACCGTCCTCGTATAAATCACATACACTTCCTGAAAATTAGGACTTTAGTTTCCTCTTCTAAGCGCTCTTCCTGATTGAACCCTAGGATTGTCCCTCTGGGGATTAGAACTCATCCAAATAGACCCTAAGGCTCTAGCCCGCTACTGGTACCACTGCCACATATAACAAAACACATTTATTTTGCAATTTACAGGTGCAATTTTGAATACTTAAAACAAACTTACTTTGATAAAATAAAAAGTACTGTAAAATAGTTGAAAAAATAAGCCTCCAGCAAAACATGATAATATAAGAAAGATGGCATTCTTTTCAAGTGTTAAAATATGGTGCAAACAGAACAGTCTTGGTTATGATTTTATTTTAGCAAAATCATCATGAGGTTTGCAACTTGCACTTTTTTAAGCTGCTAGAGTGCACATTTATTGAATGCTGAGGTGACACATGTGCCTTAGTGGCAACTGCTATTATTATTCTCATTTACAGAGGGGAGATTGATATACAAGCAAGGCCAACTAGCTTATGGGTATAATGCCAGTGAGTGGAGGATGGAATTCAAACCCATCTTCTCTTTTAATTGCTATTTTTTAAATTTTTGAAAGTAGAGACAAGGGCCTTGCTGTGTTGCCCAGACTGGTCTTGAATTTCTGGGTTCAAGCAATCATCCCACTTTGATCTCCCAAACTGCTGGGATTACAGGTGTGAGTCGCCACACCCGACCAAATCCATATGCCTCTCTGTTGCATAATGACAGCTCTGTTAAATGTTTTTCTGTAAAGTTCCTTGTACATTACAATTAATTTTAAAGAAAGCAAACTCTGTTGCAGTTACAATGATAGAAATTGTCAAAAATAAAGTAAGTCTGGGCATGATGATTCACACCTGTAATCTCAGCACTTTGGGAGGCTGAGGTAGGAGGATCACTTGAGCCCAGGAGTTTGACATCAGCCCGGATAACATAGCAAGACCCCGTCTCTGCAAATAGTAATGACAATAATAAATTAGCTGGGTGTGGTGGTGCACACCTCTAGTCCCAGCTACTTGGGAGGCTGAGGTAGTAGGATCACTTGAGCCCAGGAGGTTGAGGCTGCACTGAGCCGGGCTTGCACCACAGCATCCAGCCTGGGCAACAGAAGAAAACTCTGTCCCAAAATAAATTAAAATAAAATAAAAATGCCATATTCAAAATTGATTTGCTCATGTTGTATTTTACAATAATTACTGGCAAATTTGCAGTATCATTTAAAAATACTCTTTAAACTTAAAACTACTGTCTTCGTATTGCTAGTCATTCTAATGGGTCTTAAATAAATCTTTTACTGTCTATTGGTTTTCCTCAGTGGACTTCTCATCCAATTGAATTTAATAGGGTTGAGTAAGGAAATGCAAACAAGTCAGTAACTGGTTTCTGCACATGAAGTCTTGGGTTTCAGAGGACAGTTACGATACTAACTGGAGAAAGAAAATGAATTGTATGAATCATAATCCCTTCATCTAAGAAAACGCTGAAGAGAGAGCTATGGATCTTACCATGTCTACTGCCCCAAGCAGGTGTTAAGAGGACAACTTAAATATTTAAATAAATGAATCATAATTTATGTTTTCACAGTATTTAAAGTTACAAATGATAAGTGTGATATTTATAATAACCAAGTATTCACATATTTTAATATGGATCTTGGTAACATTTCAGCCAAGGGAAATTTTTAAATGTGATTTCACTTGACTTTAAGAGGATAGTGTAGCCCTCTCTCTAGTAATCTGGAGTTCTTTTCAGAATGCCCTATTCATTTGGCTAACACGAGGTAAGACCTTGATGCCAGTGGAGGTTCCCTATCCTTTTTGCTTAGCTGGCAAGGATCAAAGAACTCTCAGCCTCTCAGGAGGCTGGGAGCGGTGGCTCACGCCTGTAATCTCAGCACTTTGGGAGGGAGAGGCGGGTGGATCACCTGAGGTCGGGAGTTCGAGACCAACCTGACCAATATTGCGAAACCCTGTCTCTACTAAAAATAAAAAATTAGCCGGACCTGGTGGCGTGCACCTATAATCCCAGCTACTCGGGAGGCTGAGGCAGGAGAATCTCTTGAACCCGGGAGGCGGAGTTGTGGTAAGCCAAGATCGGACTCTCAGGAAAATGCTCCGTGTTGTATTTATCCTAACTGCCGGCAGGGGGAACAGAGGTCTTTTGGTCCTCAGTCATCCCAACCAGTAGGCTGGAGGACTTCTGGCTTTTCTGCATGTCAGCGATGCCTCAGCTGGTTTCTGGGACTTGAGAAGCTATCTGAGCTCCTGGATCACAGGTTAGGCTATGTCAGGAAGAGAACCTGGGAGAGAGTCCTAGGGAGGGAAGCTGTTAATTTAGGATATTACATTACAATCTCCCTGACAACCACAAGATGCTACAAAGTACATCCAGAATCATCCTGAAGACACATCTGCAGTTTCAGCATCAGAAGCACAGGTACTTTTTCTCAGTTAATTTCTTAGATCCTTTCACTTGCCGAATATCACCTCCTTAGAGTGGGTTTCCTTTCCCACCCTTTCTAATTACAAATCTGTTTGCTTACTTGTTTATTGTCTGTCTTGCCCCCCAGAACTGCACTGTCCAATATGGTAGCCCTTGGAACATGGCCCTCTGCATGTCTCCTACTGGGGGCGTGCTGTGAGTGTCAGATGCACACCAGATTCCAGAGACTTGGTGTGAAAACAATAAATATAAAATGACGCATTAGTAATTTTTTATAGTTGGGTTAATATTTTGTCTTATTTTATCTATATCATATTGTAGTTTATATTTTATCATATGCCAATACCTCAATAAAGTTGTAAAATAATTTTATATTGTTTATATTTTAAGATAGTATTTTGAATATGTGTTAAATAAAACATTATTACAATTATTACAATTAATTTCATCTGTTTCTTTTTACCTCTTTAATGTGGCTACCAGAAAATTTTAAATTATATGCATGACTCATATAATATTTCTGTTGGACATTGCTGCTCTAGAATGGACACTGCACAATGGCAAAGTTTTATTGGACTGGTTCAGTGCCAGACCCCCAGAACCTAGGTCAGTGCCTCGCACAGAATAGCACTTGATGTGTACTTGTGGAATAAAAACTAGGAGTGTGTTTATTCATTTGTTCCCCCTACAAATATCTACTGTCTATTCATTTCAGATGTAGTTCTGGGGGCTAGGGATGCAGTGGAGAACAAAACAGGCCATAAAACACTCATAAACTGTAAAATTGGGATTCTTTGTAGGAAGACCAGATGTTTTGATTAAATGCTGAGAATGGTAACGACTCACCTTTATTTTCCCTGGCAGTTAAAGAGTTGGAATTGAATAGACCAGAGATTCTTAGCCTTGGTTGTGTGTTGGGAACACCCAGGGAAGTTTTAAAGACTACTGAAATCAGAATATTTGGGGGTCATGTACATTTTTTAAAAAGCTCTTTTCTATCACGTGGGGACAGGTGTCCATTTCATCATCAGCTCTAGACCTCAGGTCATTGTCTCTGACCCTTTGCTGTTTGTGAAACTGGAATAATTATTCCTGCATTCTCTGATTCCGGTGATATTTAATGAGGTAAGAGAATGTGAGCTCTCCGGCTGGCAAATGTTGGAAGCCCAATAAATATTGGTTGCTTTTACCTTTCCTCTGTCTCTTCATTTAACAGAAAGGGGCTTTCTGTAAGAGATGGGCTTATCAACGAGTGTCACACAGTGGAAGAGGGTATCTGAGGGCCATTCATTTTTTCATTTCCCTGTCTCATCAGCACTCCCTATACAAAAAGCAGGAACAAAACAAAACCCTAATCTGACCATTTGGTGTTGGGCAAAGAAATGGAAATCAGATGAAACTGAAGAGAGGGCAAGCAGCAGAAATGTTAATTGCTAGTTTTGTCTAGGTTTTTAAGGTGGAACACTATTATTTATGGTAATGCATTCACTTTTTTTTTTTTTTTTTTTTTGAGACAGAGTTTCTCTCTTGTTACTTACCCAGGCTGGAGTGCAATGGCAACGATCTCGGCTCACGCAACCTCCGCCTCCTGTGTTCAGGCAATTCTCCTGCCCCAGCCTCCCAAGTAGCTGGGATTACAGGCATGTGCCACCATGCCCAGCTAATTTTTTGTATTTTTAGTAGAGACAGGGTTTCACCATGTTCACCAGGATGATCTCGATCTCTTGACCTCGTGATCCACCCACCTCGGCCTCCCAAAGTGCTGGGATTACAGGCTTGAGCCACCGCACCCGGCTTTCACTTTTTTTTTTAATTGAGATGGAGTCTCGCTCTGTTGCCCAGGCTGGAGTGCAGTGCCACGATCTAGGCTCACTGCAACCTCTGCCTCCTTGATTAAAGTGATTCTTCTGCCTCAGCCTCTGGAGTAGCTGGGACTACAGGTGTGTGCCATCACACCCAGGTAATTTTTGTATGTTTAGTAGAGATGGGTTTCACCATATTGGCTAGGCTGTTCTCAAACTCCTGATCTTGTGATCCACCCTCCTTGGCCTCCCAAAGTGTTGGGATTATGGGAGTGAGCCACCGCGCCCAGCCTGCATTCAACTTTTAAATGCAAATGGAAGA